TTTTTCCTCCCCATCATCAAGGCCACAGCTGACACTCCCATTACAAAAGATACATTAACAACAGAAAAGTATAACAGATTTATTTACTGAAAGTTTTACATGACACGTGAGCCTTCAGAAATGAAGACCCAAATATTTAAGTTAAACTGTCTATTTTTATGTTTAGGTTTTATGTAGAATAGACAGCCATGTAGAAATGTAATAGACAGAGTGGGGAACTCAGCAAGGCCTGTGTGTTTAGATTCATCTTGGCCTCTCTGTGTGGTTTGGAATGAGGGTCCTATGATCTTTCAGACAAGAAGGTCAGAGAATTTCTTTATGGCCAATTCTTACACAGAAAGCCAGGTGATTAGAGTAATATTTTTAGGTTTTATGGATGGCTGTGGGAGAGAGGAATTCTGGTTGGTTTCTATGACCTATTTGGGGGAATAGGAATTCTAGTTTCTATGGCCTGCTTTAGGGGGAAAGGGGACCAGGAGAAAAAAGAACTAGAGAAAGTCAGAAAGTGACAATGCTTCTGGGGCCCTTCCGTTGTCCTTCAGTTCTCAGTACTCATCACACCTAAGTGCCATTCTTTAGTGTGTTGTTGTCTGAGCCCTAAGAACAATGAATTAAAGGAGTGTGAAATTAGGTATAATTTGGTAGTATAGATGTTCTCATTCAAATTTTAATACTGTCGTTGCAAAGAATACTACAGTTTATAAATATATTATAGTTCCAACAAGTTAAGTGAGAACTACACTGAGAGATTTTATGAATGCAACAAATTTGTATGATTAGTTCATAAATTGACTCTTGTTTTATTTGTACAATATATTGAAAGGAATTCATACTGAAAATGAAAATCTGCAATAGAAAAGGTCATTGGATAAGAACGCTTAAAGAATAGAAATTGCTGTGAATTTTGAAATCATGCTAGGTCATCCTGAACCTCATGAATTCTATTTAGATGGGATATAATATGTAGTTCTTCTGTAGTGATCAGGACTAAGTGTAAAAGATTAAATCTGGTGACCAGGAAAGAGAGCAGTCAGTGCACATCTCTGAAATTCGACTGCAGGTAAATTGCCTTCTGTTAAACTGAATTCTCTAGCTAAAGCAGTTATTTTTACGTAATATTTTCCCTTCAGAGGGTAACTGCAAATGATACACGTAGCAAACCAACAACCAAAAAGTGATGTAAAATGTTTTATTATCAATAAGGTGCTGGAACTGTGAAGGTAACTGAATAACAAACCAACAACCAAAGAAAAATGTAAGATGTTGTATTATTGATATAATTTGAGGCATACTTACAATGGCATTTTGAATTCCTTGAGCTGAGGAAAATCTAAAAATGTGAGTAACTGAGCCTACTAACATGCATTGAGAATGTTTCTAAGCTCCTGATTTACTTACCACATACAGCAGACTATAAGGGGAGGGTTTCCCCACCGTCCTTACTCAGAGAGTGCTACACTGGTTACTTTAAGTGCCAGCCATGTATAAGCTCAAGGGCTTCCTATTTCCTGCTAACTTCCACTAAGTTTTAAGAGTTCCAGTCTCAATTTCACGCACTTAGGAGTGTCCCAGGCCACTGAGGTGGAGACTGTCCTCAAAGGGACCTTGGGATGCACAGACATGCTCAGACTTGCATCATTTGTGCTGTACGGTCAGCAGGCAGCCTGTGGCCTCTCAGCAAAGGCCCTGAGTGCTCACTCCAAGAAGGCCTCCTGGCACCGATGACTACTGCACTTGCTCAGAGTGAGTGGAGGCTGGGAAATCAACAAAAGCTGTCTCTGCTCCTGCAGCACAGTGCTCTGGTCCAGGGACCACCTTGCTCTCTCTCCAGCATCTTCCTCCTCTTTCCTGCTCAATAGGGGCAGTTGTAGTTATTTAGAAGTCAAGAGCCTGGCTCCTTATCTATTCTTTTCAATCTATTGTTTTTGACAGAAACATTATGATCTTAGTCTTTCAAAGCTGACACTCTGAAAATACTGAAGGGCATCTCTTGAGGATCTGACACCTGTTCCACTAAGAGCTCTGAATGTGTGTTTTGATATGTAAAAGTCAAGGATTGCCTTCTTTGTTCTTTTGATTGGCAGTGGTGCTCTTTTCTGGAAACAAGTGAGGAGAAAGGACCTAGTTCCATCCAGGGTATGAGAATGGTCAGAGGTCAGGAGGTAGAAGACATCAGGTAGTGTGAGAGAGCACCACATCATAGCCAAAAGCACAGACTGTGTAGGATCAAGTCCTAGCTCTACCACTAACTAGCTGTGCTACCTTGGGCAAATTACCTCTCACTTTCCTCACTTGTATTAGTTTTTTATGGCTGCTGTAATTAATTACCACAAATGATGGCTTAAACAACAACAATTTACTCTCTCAGTTCTGGAGGCTGGAAGTCTGAAACTGGTTTCATTGAGCTGAAATCAAGGTGTTGACAGGGCCATGCTCCCTCTGGAGCTTTAGGGGAGACTCCCTGTCTCTCTCCACTTCTGGGGGCTACTGGCATACTTTGGCTTATGTTCACATCACCCCAATCTCTGCCTCTATGATCACATTGCCTTCTCCTCTTCTTCACTGGGTCTAACCTTCCTCTGCCTCCTTCTTATAAGAACATATGTAATTGCATTTAGGGCCCTCCCAGATAATCCAGGATAATCTCTCCATCTCGTGATTCTTAATTTAATCACATCTGCAAAGTTGATTATTGTCACATAAGGTAAAATTCACAGATTCCAAGGATTAAGAACATATGTATTTGGGAGCGGGGGATAATTAGTCAGCCTACTATTGATTAGGTTGATAATAGCACCTACATGAACATTAAAAGGAAAAATGTATAAAATTTACTTAGAACTATGTCTAGTATGCAATAAAACACTCAGCAAAAGTTAGCCTATGATGGCGATGGCAATGATGATGCAGCAACAAGAAAATGCATCAAATATAGTAACCAAAGCAGCATGGTACTGACATAAAAACAGGCACACAGACCAATGGAGCAGAACAGAGAACCCAGAAATAAACCCACATATACACAGCCAGCTGATTTTTGACAAGTGCTCTAAGAACATAGATTTGGGAAAGGACAGTCCCTTCAATACATGGTGCTGGGAAAAGTGGAGATCCACATGTAGAAGAATGAATCTAGACCCATATCTCTGACCGTATACAAAGATCAACTCAAAATACTGACATAAAAACAGGCACACAGACCAATGGAGCAGAACAGAGAACCCAGAAATAAACCCAGATATACATAGCCAGCTGATTTTTGACAAGTGCTCTAAGAACATAGATTTGGGAAAGGACAGTCTCTTCAATACATGGTGCTGGGAAAAGTGGAGATCCACATGTAGAAGAATGAATCTAGACCCATATCTCTGACCGTATACAAAGATCAACTCAAAACGGATTAAATACAAATATAAGACCTGAAACTATAAAACTACTAGAAGAAAATAGGGGAAGTGCTTCAGGACATTGGTCTGGGCAGAGATTTTACAGCAAAGACCTCAAAAGCACAGGTGACAAAAGTAAAAATAGACAAATGGAACTATATCAAACTAAACAGCTCTGTACAGCACAGGAAATAATCAACAGAATGGAGAGGCAACCTGAAAATGGGAAAAAAAAATTGCAAACTATTCATCTAATAAAAGATTAATATCAAATTATAGAGGAACCTAAACAACTCAATAAAAAAAATTAGATTTTATAATGGGCAAAGGATCTGAATAGGCATTTCTCAAAAGAAAACATACAAATGGTCAACACGTATATGAAAAAATATTCAGTATAATTAATAATTAGGAAAATGCATATCAAAACCACACTGAGACATCATCTCGTCCCAGTTAGAATGGCTATTACCAAAAACTGAAAATAACAAATGCTGGTGAGGATGCAGAGAGAAACTCATATACACTGTTGATAGAGTGTAAATTAGTACAGCCATTATAGAAAACAGTATAGAGGTTCCTCAAAAAGCAAAAATAGAACTACTATATAATCCAGCAATCTGCTACTGGGTATATACCTAAAAGAAAGGAAATCAGTATGTCAGAGAGATATCTGCACCCCCATGTTTATTTCAGCATTATTCACAATAGTGAAGATATGGAATCAACCTAAGTGTCCATCAACAGATGAAGAGGTAAAGGAAATGTAGTAAATATACACTGGTATACTATTCAGCCATTAAAAAATAATAAAATCCTGTCATTTGAGGCAACAGGGATAAGCCTGGAGGACATTATGCTAAGTGAAATAAGTCAGGCATAGAAACATAAATACCACATGTTCTCACTCACATGTGGAAGCTAAAAGTTTGATCTCATAGAAGCAGAGAGTAGAATAGTTATTACTAGAGGCTGGGAAGGGCAGAGGAAAGGAGGGAGGGAGAGATTGGTTAAGGGACACAAATTTATAGCTAGCTAGGAGGAATAACTTCTAGTGTTGCATAGCACTGTAGGGTCACTAAAGTAAACAATAAGTCATTGTAGTTTTTCAAATAGCTAGAAGAGAGGATTTTGAATGTTACCAACAAAAAGAAATGATAAAGATTTGAGATGATAGCTATACTAACTATCCTGATTTGATCATTACACATTGTATACATGTATTGAAACATCATTCTGTACCCCATAAAAATGTACAATTATTTTGTGTTAATTTAAAAAAAAATTTTAATGAATATGCAGCAAAAAAGTTTCAAAATAAACAAAATATTTTATGTAAACATCTATGGAGGGTCTTGTCTCTGGATTTTAGGTGTGTGCTAACCTTAAAATTTTAATATTAGTTGAAGGATGAATCTCCACATTGAATGATTGTAACCCAATTGTTTAGGTGTATGATATATGAGTCATTTTTGGCTTTGTCTTTTGTTACTTTTCATTTGAAATTGAAATAATTTCAGCAATTTCATCCATCCTGAATTCTTCCTAAGGTCAAAATCAAAGAAATAATATGACGATCATCTCCTTTTGCTCTCTTGTTTCCTGCCCACCTAGGACACAGATCTAATGACATTCAACATCTCTGTACATCGGTCATGGTGGAGGGAACATGGGCCGGGGTGTGTCCGGAGAGTGCTGCCTCCGTCAGCCCACGGCATGATGAACGATTACACTTATGTCTCTGTCACAGGCTGCATCGTGGACTTCCAGTACCTGGAGGTCATCCACAGCGCCATCCAAATACTACTCTCCGTAAGTGTCACTTTTGTGTCATTATCTGATCAGGACTCTTCTTTATTGGCATTTTATATTTCAACCTTCTCTCCATGTCTACCTGGTAGATAGTGCCACAGATAAGTACACAGAGAACATCCTTCAGACAATGGAAATAGCAGCAATTATGGTATCACTAGTTATACTTAATGGCAGGCTACATCTTTCCCCTCTTGGTATCAAGATGTTTTATTTTTAGAACCAGTTACTTGCTATAGTTTCCAACTTCAGATACAATCCACACCATTCAATGAAATAGTATCACTGCACCCCAAAAGTGGTACATTGCCCATTAGCTACCTCAGGCTCTTCCACTAATGTACATTAGTTCCAGAGGAAGGAGGATAGAAACCCACACACCCAATGGCTTGCTCAATCTAAGTAACCTCACATTTCAAATAACTATTCCTTAAAAAACAAATACCTCCAGAGATTCTCAGCATTTTAGTGCCTAAAATTTGGTGTCAGGATATAGTTCCACATTACACAGAGAATGTCTTAATTTGTTCACAGGTTTAGGTTTATGTGCCAGGGACTTCTTAAAGGTAATTTCCTTCCACCAGACCGTCTCACCCACAGTTTCACCACAGTGTAGAGTGGAATTAATTTAAGATGTATATCATCAAGAGTGGTGTTCCTTTGAAACCCAGCAAGGACTTGCCATTTAGTTTGAGTCAATATACAATAAAACTATTCTCAACCACATTTTCACATAAACCAGCCATCTCAGTTCTTCTGTCCAACTGGTTAGAGTTAATATAAGAGACACAGGCTCAGTAATAAGTAAATATATATAAACATAAATGAATAATAAAAATATAAGGGGGTTTGTCAGTGATGAATATACCTTGGAATTATTTCTAGAAAGAACTTTGAGAAGTCCTTGCTATTACTTACTGTATCTGTTTTCTATTTCTATGTAACAAGTCACTCCAAAATGTAATTATTTAAAACAATATCAATTTATTGCTTAGAGTTCTGTGGGTCAGGAATTTGGGGAGGGCTCAGCTGGGTATTTCTCCTGCTCCATATGATATTGGCTAGTGTCACTCATGTGAACACCACATGATATTGACTAGGGCCACTTATGTGACCCTTTGATCTGGGAGCTCTGCTGGGACTGGAAGTCCAAGGAGGCCTCAGTCACATGTGTGTGCTGACTGTTGGTCCCCATTGTCTTCCACATGGCTTCTCTTTCTGCAGAAAACTTGACAGGCTTTCTTACAACAAGGTAGCTGTAAAAGAGGTTGTGTGGAATTGACAGCAATTGCTGGGTTTTAGGAGAAGAAAGTCCAACATGCAAGCATTTATCAAGCCTCTATTGAGTAATGCTTGCTATTGTCCCATTGACTACGGCAAGTCACATGACCAAGCCTAGAGTCTTTGTGGAAGGAGCTAGAGAAACGTGAGAATACCAGAAGCCATGGCTTATTTAGGGCCACCAATGTAGCAGTCTTACCGCATTCACTCGCCCATTGACTACGGCAAGTCACATGACCAAGCCTAGAGTCTTTGTGGAAGGAGCTAGAGAAATGTGAGAATACCAGAAGCCATGGCTTATTTAGGGCCACCAATGTAGCAGTCTTACCGCATTCACTCAATCTATTAATTATTGTTCTTTAACCTTCTTGTCTCAAGTTTTTAAATGGTGTTTTAGAAAACATTTGAATTACAATTTTCTAGAAAGACTAAAGATTAGAATAAGGAAAAAAAATCAATCATCTTTTAGTGTCCTAGTTCAAAAAAAGGCAAATTTGACACTAAATTCAAAGAAAGAGATTTACCTCAATGCCAAGGAATCTCCTTTCAGACATATAACAGGGAATCTGATCATTCTAGGTTTCTATAATCTTATTTACAAGCATAAGAATAGTATATTGTTATTTGTCAGTATATATTTACTAGTTTTTCCCTGTTCTCTGATCCTTCTTTAATCTAGCAGTTTCATATGAAACTTTGGTAAAATATATGTCTAAACCTTTTGTTTGTTTTTACAAAGTGTGGAGACAAATTTCTCAAAAATTTTTTGTCTGTTTTAAGATATAAAAGAACTCTATTATCATATACTAGATTCTAAACATTCTTATTAATTTTTTTAATATTCAAAACATTTTTCTAGGAACCTTCTTTCATATATGGACAGATCACCCTGCTTTTAAAAATATATATTCATAGTAAATTGCTAAAACCATCTTGTGGATTGATGGCATGGTGTCCAAATCTTTGCAATGCAGCTGAATGCCATAGAATCAAAAAGTCACTTCCCCATAGTAACTCCAATTCAAATGAATAGCAAAGCAAAAGTGTTTATTTGATAAGGAGCTGGACTGTCACATAAAAATATACCTAAAGAGAAATCTAAATAAACGGTATATGCTGACACCTAAAAATTCTTATTACTTATAAATAAATTTCTTGATATATTATTTTAGTGAACATGCAAAGCTGTCAACGAGTATGCATAGTCCTGACTATACTATTCAGCCTTCAGGAAATAAAAGATTAGTTGCTGCACTCTAACTTTTCTTGTGTAATAAACCTGCAAGATATGATTTTTAATATTTTATCTTTTTATATTAAAATAAATATATCCTGAAATTGTTTCACAACTATTAAATATTATTGTTGTTATGGTTGATTTTATATGGGTTTCCTGTATTTTCCACTTATTTCATGTGATTATGTTTACTATTATTAGAAATGTGATTTTTTAAAAGCTGATGATATGAGGATCATTTCTGTTCCTGTTGTCTAATATGTCCTGAGATGTCTACCTTACTATTGAAAAACAATATTTAACAGACCGAGGGGCACAGGCAACAGCCAGGCAAACAGATGGAGAGCTTTGAGATTGGGCAGGGTCCTGGAGGCTTTGCTGCACCAGCGGTTACCCCTTTAATTACTGGGGGCATAGAAATGTCCAGAAGGACCTAGGGGAGGGACTGCAGGAGGTAGCCAGGATGGTGGAGGTGGGGTCCCTAGGGATTTCAGGGCAGCAGCTCTCTACCAAGTGAGAGGGAAGTATTTGAGTGATTTAGCCATGGATACAACTGTGCTGGTGAACACTGCCTGTACAATTGTCCTGCGTGAGAGTAGAGCTTGCAACTGGAGGAAAGGAAACCCCAGTCGTAAGCATTCCATAGGAACTGTGCACAAGCTTGAAGGCAACGGAGAAAACAACAGAACTCAGAGAGGCGCCGATGGGCGGGGTTCTTCTAGGGGACTGTCACGGGGCTCTGGGCGCATCCCGCCCCGCCCTCACGCCCCAGCGCAGGAGCCCCGCGCACCTGCCAGGCTCGCTGCCCCCTCACAGCAGCGTGTGCTTCCTTCCTTGGCGCCCAGGCGGAGCGGGAGAGGACAGTGCAAAGCTGAGAGCTGGTTCTGGTCACTATCGTGGAAGATCAGCGCGAAACCCAAAGAAAGGTTGTGGACAGTATGAAGGGAGGAGGAACGTGTAATCCACCTAGGACGTGAGACATCAAAGACCGTAGCCAGGATTGTGCTGTGGAGTGATACGAGTCCCTCCAAGCCTTATACTGTACATATTTTCAAATCATCTTTGTACTTCAGGAATTTAATACCACAGATTTAAAGATGTGTGTGTGTCTGTGTGTGTGTGTGTGTGTGTGTGTGTGTGTGTGTGTGTGTGTGTGTGTGTAGTTAACAGTACAATCGCAAATATAGCATTTTCTTCTGCTGCTAGAGAATATTGATAAAATATTTCTGCTTGAAAGAATCTCTATTACCATTTAATCTTATTTGATAGTGCTGTATGTTACTTATTTAATCCCCAACCATCTAAAACATGAAATCTTACAAAACTAAAACAAATAACTTTAATGTTAGCATCACATAAAAGTAAAGGGTCATTATCCATAATACAAAATGAGATCATTTCAATGAATACTAAAAACATGAAAATGTAATAATTTAACCAGTAAATAATATGATTAAATGTCTTTGTATGAAGCAAAAATATCCAAATTGTAAAGAAATATTTTGTATTTATATTTTATACAATTATCCTTGATAGTAAACAGAAATGTATAAATTAAATTTGAAAAAATTATTTTCACTAATTTAGCAAATTTTAAAAATAATAAAACATAGAAGTGCAACTCACTTATTGGTTAAGGCATTCATTATTGCAAGGACCGTTAAAAGGTCCATACCTTTGGGACTTTAAGCCCCACTCAATGGAATTTCTCCTAAGAAAATGATTCAACAGAAACAGCCTGCATGGTGTTCTTTTCAGTGTTATTTATAATGGCAAAACTGGGTATGTCCAAACATATACAATTTAAGACATGATATAGCAAGTTATAGTACATCAACATCATTAATGGATGGATAGCGATAACTATGCTAATTTTTAAAACCATATATAAAACATGGAAAGGTTTTTATGATTTAAATAAGTAGTAAAAGAAGAAACTTAAGATGCAAAATGAAATGTAGACTTATGGGTATGTCTTCCCAAGAAATGTTTTTAAATGTTGTATTACATTTAAAATAATGCAGTTTAATCATCACATGATTTGTATAGAAGAGTAGAAAAGGTGTTATGGTTGTTTTTCTTATATTATTAAAAATCCTAAATCTCATAATATTTATTTGATTATTTGAAGTCACTCTTAAATCTTAGCTATTACTAGATATTCCATTTTAGTGGACTGCTCAGTTCTGGGGTCAATAGATCAGTAATAATGAATATGCTATTTAAGGTCCTTTTAAATTTTCAGTGTTAATTATTTGCTGGTAAACATGAATTCATATACTCATGTTAATTATTAAAATATACGTGTGTGTGTGTGTGTATATATATTTAATGGAGCTCATTTTTATAATTAATAGAAAAATCCTAATCTCTAAACCTGGAAGAGATCTTTAAAACGTACTTTATTTATCTCTCTTTGGAGCTAACTTTACACATATGTTGTCTTGAATCCTCACTGTCAGGATATTCTCCCTCATATCTGATAAGTGACAAGTCTCATTCTTTAACATCTTTGGAGGTTGTCACCATGGTCAGAGCTGGAGTTGTAGAACCCTGAGAAGTGGTTTTCCATCAT